GTGTGTCCCCAAATTCATATGTTGAAACCTGATCTTCAAAATGATGATATTAGGAGGTGTGGCCTTTGGGCCGTGATTAGGTGGAGCCCTCATGAATGGGATTAGTGCCCTTATAAAAGAGATCCAGGTGAGGACCCCTAACCCTTCTGCCATATGAAGACATAGAGAAAGAACGGCCATCTATGAACTAGAAAGCCAGCTCTCACCAGACACCAAATTTGCCAGCACCATGCTCTTGGCTTACCCAGTCTCCAGAACCTGAGAAGTAAATTTCTGTTATTTAGAAGCCACCCTGTCTATGGTGTTCTGTTCTAGCTGCCTGAATAATTGTGTATATGTACTTGCATGTGTGCACTATATGAGGATTTTTATATATGTATGTATGTGCCTATATACGTATATATTTCCTTCTCTTTTGGGCTCATTTATTCATATGTTGATATTCTTAATTTGATCAAATGATAATTTTCGTATTTGGCTTCATGTGCTATAGGAAACTAATAAGAGATTTTAGAATCGGTCCTCTCATACTCATAATGGTGCTAATTTTTATAATTTCATGGTGAAATTCTCTTACATTTTGTAGCTAATAATTTCCAGGTAGAATTATTAACAGTGTAAAATATAATTGATATCTGCGGATTTTGCATTTGTGGCTGCAAACAGAGTACTTTGTCTCAAAATGACAAAACCGAATTAATCTAACTTTTCACAACAGACTCATAGAATCCGAGTGAGTTTTCAGTGGAAGAGAGAAAACAAGGCTGGAGTAATGCTTATTTGGCTCTCCCATTAAACTTTGGCTCTGTAGATGGTTTGCGATCATGCATTATTAAATCCACTCCACGTCTTTTGATCCACTCTGCACCACTAGATCCCTACTCTGCAGATATTACATAAGGAACAGGATAGCAGTGCAGTGACCACACGTAAATCAAATACTCTTCAGAGCTGCATGCACACATTAGGAAGATTGTTGTGTCTCATCTCTGCTGGTCTGTCGCGGAGTGCAACGTGCTTCGTGCAGTATGGAGGCCATGTCTATGACCAGACCGAATTTGCTACCCGATCTCATAATCTTGTTCCTCATCTGCTGCCTCTCATTCTAGGAACTGAAGAGGTTTCCCTGAGATTTGGAAAGATTGAGTAGGACTTGATTAGCAACAACACCTGGACTTTGGTCTTGGATTTATTCAATGCACATGTATTGATCAACTACTACGTGCCAGGTATTGGTTTAGGTGACTGGGACACATTAGATGCAAGACCCCTGACCTGTGGAACTGACATGTTCTTGTGGCAAAGGTGGACACCAACAATTACATAAAAATAAGTAGATAGACAATGCTACACAGAAAAGGAAAAATGATATGAGAGAGGTTGGGGTGCCAGAGGAGGGGCAGAAAGCAGTAGTCAGGGCAAGCTCATTAAGGTGAGACATGAGTCCATATTTGAAGAAGAAATATACCGTTCCTCATCAGCCATGCCACCTGGGACAAGCAACATCAAATCTCTGCATCTTGGTTCCCTTACTTGTACATGAGATATTGATCTACATGATCTATACCAAACTCCTTTTAAGTTCTTAAATTCTGTTAAGTATGGTTTAGCTATGCCAACAGTACAGAATGAAAGCAGTCACCTAGTTAATGTCCATGAAGCCCACACAATGTGTCATCATATGTCACTAAATGCCACGGAGGCCACACGATTGAAGAAATGCTCATTATGATAGTGGTAATTTGGACGCATCCTATTACACACATTCATTTATTTAACAAACATATTTTAAGCACCTACTGTGTTCCAAGCCCTATCATATGGCTTAGGTGTTACAAAGCTGACAGTCTGACAGGGAGAGGGGGGCATGTTAGCACAAGGTAAAACACGCTAAGTCAGGACAGGGGAGTTGTTTGTGACACACACAGGAAGGAGGAACCAATCACATTGACTGGGGCATGTACACTTCTGCCAGGTGTTCTAGATATACATCATTTTCTTTACCCGTAGAGATGCACAATTCTTTCTTTAGAGAAGCTTAATTGTTTTTATCTTTTGAGAAAGGTGGCGATACATTTTACTTATTAAATAGAAGGGAACAATTTTCATATCTAAAATTTCCTTATTATTCTTTTAAAAAATCTTAAGTAGTTTATTTGTGTTCACTTACTAAGTATATTAAGAGTAATATTACTTAATTTTGGAAAGCTTCAGTTTCTACAAGGAAAGTAAAAGCAATCAGATGACGTTTACCCTTTGGGGGGAATTTTAAATTATGAAATTAAAGAGGGCAAAGAAGGCAACTTATAAAATGTTTACTTCATTAAAACTAAGAAAAAAAAACTAAAGTAATGATGTGGTTCTGTTAACAAATGAATTTGAAAAGTATGAGCTTTTCCCACCAGTATTTGTGCTCCCTTTTTGTGTCGATGAGGAACTAACAAGCATGGTGGTAACAATTATCATCTACTGGGACCTTATTGTGTGTCAGGCTCAGTACTAAGCACTTATCCATATATTATCTAATTTAATTCTTACAAAGCTCTATGGAATAAACAGCGAATATGCCCAACTGTGTAGGTGAGGTAACTGAGATGAAGAGATTTATTGTCCAAGGTCTAAAGACAATAAGGCATTAAGGGACAATAACTTAAACTTGTCATCAGAAGACCTATACTTGAATACTAGAGGCAGGCAGCAGCAGCAGTTACATGTTCAGTATAACTGTAACTATTTCACTTTTTACATTGCCTAATGGGAAAAAAAATGGTCATAAAATTTCTCTGCTGTCTATGTAAATGTCTTCTTAAAAGTTGTATTTTTTTATAAAAGTATATTTATCATCTCTGAACTTCTATTGATTGAAAATCTACAAAAAGAGTTTTTGGACCTGATCCAAATATTTTTAAAAATAAGCTTTTGTGTGATTTGGTACTCCATATAAAATTTTTCCTAATGGTCTCAAGTTTCAAAGGATTTAAAAGTTGTTTGAGTAGGCACATCATGAAATGAGGAATACAGTCCATTAGTTGAGAGTGTTATAGAGACAGTATTACCAGCGGTTATCTCTTCCTGTAGCAGTGTTTGAAGAAATTGCTACCCTTACATTGGGGACAGCATATGATACAATACACAAGCTGGTATCTTGACTACACATTTTTAGCAAACTCTGGGGACAAGTAAAGCTTACTTTCTTGTGTAATCAAATTGATTCATAAAAGAAAAAAGAAAACTTTGTATTGGATAAAAGGTAGCAAGAACACGTATTTGGAGTCATTTTAAAATAAATTCAGACTTACAGACAGAGCATCATGATCCTGACACAAATCACATTTCAGTATTAACTTCCACAAGCAAAATGTAGGCCTTGTAGTTTTATTACTTGAAAGCTACGAGCAACTTTCTAGGAATATGAATTTACAATTAAAATGATATGGACTATCAACTCAGTTAAAAAAATTGAATAGCGTATGCAAATAATCTGGATAATTCTGACACCTCGTGTCAGAAATTCCTTTGCACTAAATTCCAGCTGAGTATTTGGGAATGGAAAGGCTGGAGCAACAGAAGTTTTCCTGGTTGATGAAACTTGAGTCTGACTTAAAAGGCCCCTAAGAGTAATTTTAAAACGTTAATACTCTTTCAAAATAATGTTTTCACACTCTGGGTGCAAATGGTTTGTATATAGTTTATAATGTAACAGTTATATTCTGTCTTAGAATAACTTGAAACCACAGCTGAAGTTTATTTTACATCATCTTTAAAACTGCCATTGTTAATAACGGCTGAATGGGATTCTTTGACTAGATTTAAAAAGATGGTATTCCTCATCAGAAATCTCTATGTGTAAATATAATGTTTGGGAAACAGCTTTGATTCTACTATACACAATAAAGGAAATGGCTGAGTCAGCAGCTTGCATAGTAAAATTTATGATTACATAATTCCTTTTCATGGTCCAACAGTGGAAAACACAAAGCTTTTGGAAGCAAAGAGAATTGAAAGAAATATGTGTAAAATAGCTAGACATTGTCAAATTCAGAATTGTATTTGGGTAGTCATAATATACACACAGGAAAATACTTCTTGCCAAACTTACACTATCATTTGACCTTCACGAGTCATACTTTTCAACAGTGGATGCAGTTTTCTGAGACTCCACTTTTGACCTTGAGGCTATAAATTGATGTTTTATGTCTCTTAGCAAACTTATAATGCCTCTGGTCCCCAAACCGAGTTCATCTAAAATTATTATCACCATTATGTTTAAACTGTTAAATTCTATAATTCTTATTTTAATTATTTAGCATACAAGGGCAAAGAGAGAAGTTACAGCTCCTTTAGAACTATCTTTTCCTTATTGCATAAGTCCCTTAGCTTTCTTAATGCAGGGTGTCTCTCATCTAAAGCTGGGACTGAGGAAACAGCTGCATTGTACTGCAGCCTCAAATCTTGCTACAGCTTTCAGGCTTAGGATTCAGCTGAGCTGAAAAGAAATATGCAGGGGCAATGTACTGGTCTATCGGAACTAAATATATACCCAAGGAGATTATATAATAATAGGGTAAGTTACTTTTTCCTGAACCTTAGCTCATCTGACTTGCATTTACACATTGTTTTTCTTATTGATTGCTCTAACAGAATGACCTTACATCATAAGTTTTACTTCCTATTTCTCTCCCCTTTCACCTGGCATTTAAATAAACTTTATGCCCTTCATCCTACTTAGAAGGTAGTAACTGTAGTAAAAAGCTTGAACAATTGCATCAACTCCCTGTAGTTGGACATTCATAAGCCATTCCACTTTAATTGTCCCCAATTCTTAACTCTACTGTAATACTCTAGCATTCAAAAACCAGGGAGCATGTTCACCAACTAGCAGAAAGGAAAAGAAAAAGTTAATGCAGCAAAACTAAAATTAAGAAACACTAACCAAGCATCTCAACTCTCAGTAACTTGAAATTAATTTGACTTTCAGAAGAGAGCCTGTGTTTTCTTACCTTGGATGTGAATAACTCTGCCATGATCTAGAGTATAGTTGTCTGAAGGATGATCAGCCCAGCAGGTTGAAATCAGCACCAGAAGAAGTAGACTCTTCATCTTTGTAGCCCAAAGAATCTTCTCCACTGTGAGAGCATCACATACAAAGAGGCTTGTGAGATTTGGAACCCTTGGGAGTGTTGCACTGCACAACTTATTACCGCCTTATCATCATAGAATGGGTCTGTAAAAATATTTAACCCAATCTGTTCAGAAATTTCTGTAGCTGCCTTAGGGAGCTGAAGACTGCAGCTTTGAACAGTTTCCCTTATGCAGCCAGAGTCCAAACAGTGTTTAACTCTATCTTTGCAGAATTGTAAATCTAGAAATTTGAAACAGTATAGCTCTGATAATGGAGAGTTACAGCAAGTTACAAAGACATGTGGCAAGGATATACATAGACTTTTAAAAATTGTTTAAACCACTGAATTTGAAGTGTAAGTTAATAAAACAACAATTTGATATATCTGTATATGAATTTTTATCACCTGGTCTAATTAGGCACTGAATCCTAAATCAGGGCAAATAGACAATATTGTATGAAACTTGACATCAGCAGTCATTTTACATGTGGCTTCCTAAGCAGGTTAGGTTTGCTTGTTCTAAATAGAAAAGAGGACAAAAAAAAAAAATCCCTGATTAAGCAGAAGCATCACATTTGTTACAAATTCACTTACCATCTTAAACACTGCTTGGGTCTGTGCTGAAGAGTTTAAAATTATGGGCAAACTAGGTTAGAGTTGTGCCTGCCACCACTGCAGTCATCCTGATTGATTTTTTTCATTCATTTCTACCTAAAATGCTGACGCACCAACTCCGAGTGCCAGGTAGGGTCTCTGCAGTCAGCAGAGCCAGGGCTGCAGGGAATGTCCCTGCCAGCCTCACAGGGCAATTAGGCAAATGAAGAGCTGAAATCTCCAGGAGCAGCTCTGGTTCTAAGCGAAAGAGGCAGAGCCGGCACTCAGCTGTCCTTTATTCTATGACCCGTTGATAAATGGGATGCAATCTCCCCTGCACTTTGTCATTGGAAGGACCAAAAAGTGATTTCAAGTGATACGAACCTTACGGCCTTTGCAGTTTCTGCCAGGCGGCAAGAATTTCAGTGTAGTTCCTCTGTTTTAATGTGGAAGCTCAGGCAAATGTTAACAAGGGCTTTCATTTTCTCTCGTGCACACAGCAGCCTTCACAATACTTGGTTATTTTTAAAACTGAAATTGCACAGTACTGGCTTCTCACACTAATTTGCTTTTTCCAGGAAAGGCTGACTCCCTGGAATACTTATTAAAGAGCTCTGCCTCTGTTCCTGGAGGTCCTAGCAGGCCAGTCTCTACTCCAGAGTCTATTGCACTATTCACAGAAGTTCGCAGGTCTCTCTTGGGACCACAGCACTCTCTGCATTCTCCTCTAAAAACTGGCATTGTTATGCTGCTTATGCTTCAGTCTTGCATGTTCGCTTTAACCTTTTTCTTTTTCTTCCTTATGTCACAGAAAGAAGATGGTGGGTGAGCAAATTGAGAAACTTATTCCAGGAAACTGAGTGTCACCTTCAAAATTCTACCTGATTCGCTAATCTTATATTAAGAAGTTCATTTGCTTGTTTCTCTGAGGATTTTTTTGGAAATGATTATTGTTTTTTGAAGCTACTGACTTTTGTCCATGGGAATACTATTCACAAATACTACTTATTTTCAGACCAGAATTATGATTTGGGTGAACAAATACAATAAAAGTGCCTTTTTGGAATTTGGAATATAATGGAGACTGTTATATATGCAAACATAAAACAATGGGCAAACCAGCGCTAGAGGCCGTTATGAGCTTTCTGCTTGCCACAAGGATCAGAGGAGGTGGGGAAGTATGGAAGAGAGAGTGTGAGGAAAGCATACAATTTTGATTGTTAAAAAAAGGAGCCATTCTAGGTAAGGGGTCAAGGTAAACAGAGGCAGATAATTTTCTATATTAATTTTCACATTAGTGTGGTCATCTACAATATAATTTTTAGGTATAGCTGTATACTCCCAAACACACATACACACACACACACACACACACACACACACACACACACACACACCATTAGAGTTGTGCATCCTACCACTGCAGTCATCCTGATTTTTATTTTTGTGTACCTAAAGCATATTACACATAAATTTACATGTCTCCTTTAACTCCATACCATAGTATTAAAAATTACACTACTAAGGGCTTTCCACTGTGTTAAGGTATTTAACTGTCCAAAGACCCAATTTGATATGCAAGCATGGGGGAATAAATAATAATAAAAATAGCAATTCCTTTTAATTAAATGTCTACAATTTGCCAAGTAATATGCTAAGCATTGTGTACACAATGGCTAATGCAGTCCTTGTAATAATACCTTGAGAGAAATATTTCCATTTTTCATGACACAGTTATCTTGCTGAAGGTCATACATCTAGTTAGAGGCAAAGTTTGTATTTGTTTTCAAGCAAAAACAAAAATGAGTTGCACTTATTTTTCTGAAAGAGAACCCATTTCTTATTTGTTTTGTTGGTTTTTTAAAAAAAATTATTTGTATTTAGGCTCTTTAACTTGAACCTACTATGATCTTGAAATTTTGCCTACTATGATCTTGAAATTTTGACCCGTATTATATGTGAATATAAACTTTTGTTTTCAGGACTTACGTGAGAAGTCAGATGTTTTTTTTTTTTTTATCTTAGTAGGATTGTGTCCTACCTGGTTTATAACACCACCTTGGTGCCATGAACACTTCCTTGGGCGGCTCATATGGGTGCACATACACATGCACTCACACACACACGCCATCTTCAATTTTAAAGAAGCTGAGAATATTGCACGTCTTCAGTGACTTGTAGTTAGAATAGGGGCATATGGCAGTGAACACTTCCAAGTACCCCATACTGGCATGAATGCACACCAGGCAGGAGAGAGTGGAAATTATCTTTGCCACCCTGGCAGCATAACAACTGTCTCGCCAAAAGATGTGAAACCAGAAAGTGAACTTTAAGGACACAATCTTCAGGTGTTAAAGCGAACGGCAAGTACAAATGAGGTACTGCACACCCTAGGCTGAGGTTCTTGAGGACAAGGGCTGTGCCAGTGGTCCATGTGCTGGTCTTCAGGGGAGAATGATGCCGAACGCTGCTTATTTGCATTTTGTAATGATGTCTTCTCTGAATAGCTAGGTATGTTAGGCAATTTTTTTTTCGTTTTTGATGAGTGAAATTTAGGAAATTTTGGGGACTTTCATACAACCCGCTATTGTCAGCCTTGAATCAGCACTCTTAGTTCGTCTGCAGCTCACACGTGATGGTCTCTTTTTCCAGCCTATCGAACTTCCCTGCCATGATGCCGCAGTCAGCTTCAACATCCATTCAGACCGAAATGTCTGTGCGCATCGTCACAGACATATGGCAGGACTGCAATTTTACGGTTCAGCTTTGGTAATCATTGAAGCACTATTTGGAAGCAAGATACTCTAGCCAACGTAAAAGTCTAATAATTTGATACACAGAAATAAAGACATACTGATACCAACAGTCTTATACCGAAGCGGCCAATCGCTGTTCCTTAAAACACCCACTGCGTTAACATTATTGTATCAGGGAATGGGAAAATAAAACCAAATGGAAGGTGAATACTATTTTCTGTGCCTTGAGAGCTAATGCCACATGTTTTCTGAGCCTCTGTTACACGGTAGGCACTGTCCTTGAAGCTTCCTCCATTTAACTGTTATTTATTAGAACAGCTCAACTGCAGTAAGGATGTTAGTATACACGTTTTAGAGTTCTGGAAGTGGAGTCAGAGTGGTGAAGTCCCCAGCATATAAAGCTAATAGCTGAGGAACTGGGCAGTCTGACCCCACCAACATTACTGGTGTCCTGTGTACCCCCAAGGAATGCCATCAGCTCTTCTAGCCAGCTCTCAAGACTCTTTCAAGGCTTTGCACAAGATGGAATGCCTCCCACTTCTCTCCCTCACAGGGTTGTGGGCATAGCAGGAATCACAGCCCTGCTCACACAAGACAAGCCTGAAACACTTTCCTTGCTGCATACACCACATACAGCACTTCCTGTGTGCCGAGAGGAAAGATGGATCTGGGGGAACCAGTTATAAGGACTAAATGAGCCAAGACTGATGGGAGATTTTACATTGCTTAAAGATTGCATGCGTTATTACATGGAGGATAGTGGAGAGTTACTTTTTTTCACCACTGAGGGCATAATGAAATAAACCAGGTCTCTATTTAGTACTTCAAATTCAGTTTTAAAATCGTGAGAATCAATACAAAGGTTGCTAGAAACTGAATGAGTAAAGAGTAAAGAAACCATAGAATCTCAAACCACAGAATCTCACTTGACAGAATTGTTTTAAAATAGACTGAATCTTCTCCTCCTGGATATCTTATAAGTATGATCTAGTTACAAGAAGAAGAGGGTCCATGATCAGTGTTTCCTAAAAGTTGGTCAGTGGTGCAGTGAAATGGAAAAAAAAATTGGATAAAGAAGATGTGGTATATATACACAATGGAATACTACTCAGCCATAAGAAAAGATGAAATACTGCCATTTGCAATAACATGGATGGATCTCGAGATTATCATGCTAAGCAAAATAAGTCAGAAAAAGTTGAGAACCATATGACTTCATGCATATGTGGGATGTAAAACTGAAAGCAACAAAGGAACAAGACAAAAAAACAAAAACTCAGACACAGACAATAATGGTTACCAGAGGGTAAGTGGGGGAGGAGGGGACGGTAGAAGAGGCTAAAGGGGGTCAAGTATATGGTGATGGAGAACTGCCTCTGGGTGGTCAGCACACAATGTGATATATAGATGATGTATTATAGAAATGTACACTTGAAACTTATGTAATTTTATTAACCATTGTCACCCCAATAAATTTAATAAAAAAGAATAATAAAAGGGCTGCAAAGTATACTTTTTCATTAGGTTAAATTAATTCAATTAAAAAATTGTTCCTTTTTTCTGAAGTAACTTTTCTTGTCTTTTGTCTGGTACAATGGCCTTTATTTCATGAAATTATAAATTTTAGACTTTCAAAGTATAGATTATTTTATC